GTGATGGTGGGGAGTGAGAAGAGAAGTGTATCTACTGCTAATTTAGTAGCAAAATAAATAAGTATGGACATTGTCACCATCTTTGTAAATAAATAAAGTGGTGTGAAACCAGTCTCTGTGTAATATATAAATGAGTTATATACATAAATTACAATAAGAATATTGTTGGTATTGCATGCTTTCTTCTGTGTTCTTTAAATTTGCTGCAAAGTTTTGTCCATCTTCATCTTAATTTGAAAGTAACACTTATAACCTCAATATATATGGAAATGTCCAACAATCGTAACAGCATTAAGCAATATGGAATAACAACACTTGAATTCACGATATATATATATATATATATGTATATATATTATATATATATATAATATATATATATATATAATATATTTATATATATATATATATCTTTGAACAGATGAACACTTGTTATTGTTCTAAATTCAACTATTTATCAAAAAGTAAATATCGAAATTGTTATTAAAACAAATAAAACTTTTATTGGTTGATTGATAGAGGACTGCAAAAATTAAATAAAATGGTATTTCAACATAGACGATTTTTTTTTTTTTACATTTATTGCAACAAGTGCAATATTAGATTCAACAGACTTCTTCTTACTATTACAAGAACCAAGCACACTTGGACCTCTTTTGTGTGTGTGTGTTGGGGGGGGGGGGGGGGGGGGTTAAGTCCCTTGGTCTAAAATTCAGAGGACCGTTCAAACAAAAAAAAAGAAAGAGAGGTAAAAAATTAAGAAAAGAAAAAAAGATATGGTGCAATGTATGTGTAATTACAGAAATTGAGAAGAATATCCTAACAGTAGGAGTCCAAAGTCATGTGAAAGCACAGTATATATGTTAGAATTACAATTCATGAGTTGAAGAAAAACTAACAACTTTTGTTCCTAACTGAATAAGCACCGACAAACTTTAATAAATTTTTATGTTGATTTTTTTGGCTATTCATTTAGGACTGCAAAGTGTCTAAACCATTGACTTCTGCCTTGATATTAGTGGTCGATTAAATATATATGCACGGGTTAAACTCGTACAACCAATGAGATAAACAACATTTGAAAAGTTTTTACTTGTCCGTTAAGAAGGGTGACAGAGGTTTCTTCGACATATTTTTTACGATGTTCAAGTCAGTTCATGGAGAGAGAGAAAAAAGGGCATGAGGTGTGTTGTTTAATAATAAGTTTCCATCCAAGCACTTCCGTTTTGGACCTGGACTTTTCACTTGGCTTTATTGTTTCTTCTTGCCATTCCATTGCCAAATGTAGTGTTCAATTTCTTCCTCTTCGATAATCCAAACATGTTTCTAAAGAAGTTTAAGAATGTGAAAGAGATTTGAGATTTGGATATTCTACACTATCCTTTCAATGGTTTCCTGTCCACTATGGTTGAGTGGAATTGTGGGTCGGTACAGTCCTAATGATAATGTTGGCCATTATATGAGGAGTCCTCCAACACACTCTCCACTGCATGTCTAAGTTTTCTGAACCACAAGCTTTGTTTCATTCTCTTTCTTCATGTTAGGGACAATGAAGCCACAAATGGCTTCTTCTTCTTTTTTGACACTGTATCTATGGTGTCAACACCTGGACTCCACTGAAGTGAATTCCACAGGTATGTGTTTTGGGGTTGTTGGGCGGTGTGTGTGTGTGGGGGGGGGGGGGTGGTAAAGGGGTGTAGGGTGGAAGATCACATTGACTTTAATAAAGAGTTGTTTAAGTCTGCATTTTGTATTGTTCTGATCCTCATTCTTTTAATTTTGACATTTTAGGCGTTAAATTTTAATTGTGTCACTTTAGTCTAATAAAAAGACGTTGATTGAAATTGACTAACATAAGTGGTCACATACGTCTTTTTCGATTTGACAGAGATTTTTAATTTTCTTGGAGGACTCAGCACAACAAAAGTGACAAAATAAGGACTAAAAATAAAAACAATTATAAACTAAAAGGACTAAAGTGACCTATTAACACGTGACCACCTTAGTTGTTAGTTAATTGGCACCATCGTTTTTTATCGAACCAAAATAATACAAATCAGAAATTTAAAAGACTAAGATGATAAAATTAAAAGTACGAACAAACCACGTGTAACTTAAGGATCAAAGTGGTGAGCCCATTTTAGGGGTGAATAGTATAATTAATCTTCTTTTTATTTTAATGCAGTTTATGCACGTGTATGGACCATCCATTAGCATATGCAACTATAAATGGCAGCTCTTTGTTCTTCATTGTCACCACCACACAAATAAGCCTCCAAACACTACTAGCTAGTTCTTGCGTTGGAAACATTGTTTTTGCCATTTCTAAACCTCTTTGGCTTCAAATATGGCTCATTTGAAGTCATTAGCTTTCAGTGCTTTGCTGGTTTCGACCTTTTTTATGGTTTCCCAAAGCCGAGTGGCAAGAAAAGATCTGAATTTGGACTTGGGTAATGTAGGGCTTGGGCTTGGAATAGGCCTTGGATTGGGAGGTGGGAGTGGTTCGGGTGCGGGCGCAGGCTCTGGCTCGGGCTCAGGGTCTAGTTCAAGTTCTAGCTCTAGCTCGTCTTCATCATCATCGAATTCGGGTTCTGGCTCGGAAGCAGGCTCGTATGCTGGCTCGAGAGCAGGGTCAGGGTCAAGTGGTAATCGAGGAGGAGGAAGCCGTGGCCAAGGTTCGGGGCATGGGTCTGGTTCTGGATATGGCGAAGGGTCGGGAGAGGGATCTGGCAGGGGAAGCGGGTATGGTGAAGGTGGCGGGTATGGGTCAGGTTCCGGTGGGGGTAATGGAAAATAAATTATATCCCATAAACAAAATTTGGCTACAACTTTGGAGGAATGAATAAGTAACATGAGCAAATCTAAGTACCATGTAATGTGTGTTTACTACTATATTATATGTAACATGTGTTTATGATTGTTTCTGTGTTTATCTTATCTTTTAGTAAAAAGACTTGTAATTTTATCCATGCAGACTTTATATTATCTCATTAAAATGCTAGTAATTTTCAATCATTTGATGTCAATTTTGTCAAAGGTTAGAATTTGGATTAGATTTGTGTTGGTCCGATTCAAGTCCGTTAAAATTTTTGATTTGACTATCCAACAAAATTTATTTTAATACGGATCCATTGAAAATTGAATATCCTATCCCAATAGATTACATGCACTTGATTTTGGTGAATTACACACGAATTGTAACTAAATTTAGTAAATAATCACTAAAATACATAATATATCTATTTACTGATATAAAAGTTGAATCAATTTATAATTGGATTTGATATTAATAAATCTCAATCCATGAAGTAGATTTTGCGAATTCAGATGTGGATAATTCATCAAAAAAACTATTGTACATCTATAAATCATATTCAAATTCAAATTTAATTCATTGACAAATTTATTATTTATTGGGGCATAGCTAAATTTTTCTCCGAGTTTGAATGTGTTCTCAGCTCCTCTTAGTTTATGGTTTGTCATATACTCATCATATGCTTATATTATATGGGTACAAACGTCTATTGTATGAGACAAATTTGTATCCAAATAATGAATTTGAAGGAACAATGTCTTAATTGATTCAAACAAGATATGGGAAAGGTGCTAATGTGTAATAAGTTATGATATTTTTGTTCAATCTTTGATCCAATAATACTAATTTAAGTACAAGTGATAATGATTCAAGTGCAAAGCATGTGTGCATCAACTAGTATCTATAATATAAAACAGGCTTCAACAAGCCGATCAGACGATCTTCATTCATCTAAAAGCGTCAACATCCAAAAGCTCACAATACATCTCATTCAAATTCAAAAGTCCATATATTTTTCCCCTAAATCCATCTCATTCAACTTAACCCAACCCAACCATCACATCCAACCTAACTTAACCAAACCAACCCAACCCAACCTAACCCAATATCTATTCTCTCTCATGTCCTCTTCCCCACAGATCGGCTCTTCCCCCATATATGTTCTCTCTCATGTCCTCTCTCTCCCAACGGCTCTTCCCCATATCTCTTATCTCTCATTTCTTCTCTCTCATCTCAATCTCTTCACTATCAGAGAGCAGGCGGCATCTCAATCTCTTCATTGTCAGAGAGCAGGCGGCGAGACAGTGGTCACTTCTCCAAAATTCATGGCATGGTCGTTTCCCCCTCCCTTCCTCTCTCTTTCCCATCCCTATCCCCTTCCCCTCCCCCTAATTTTTCTCCCCAAACACTCGGTCTCTCTCTCTCACCATCACCAAAGCTAGAGGCAGAGCTAGAGAAACCGCGCCACAACACCCTCTTCTCCCAATTATCCCTCTTCTCTTCTTCTTCTCTCCCCATCATCCTCTTCTGCGCAAAAAATAAATCGCAAAAATCAGATCGCAAGAGAAACCTTATTGGTGGTTTGATTTGGAATAATTATGATTGGGGTCTGGGTTTTGGTATATATAGATCTTTGGTAGTCATTACCTTGTGTATCTGGGTGTGCTATTAATTTGCAAGTTGGTAAAACCATCCTAGGTATTTCTCTTTATCCCCTCCCCTCCCCTCTTTGTGTTTTTCACTGAAATGACCAAAACCCAGACCCACATCATAATGCTCATGAACTGTTTGTTGAAATGTCTAAGAGACACACACACGCAAATCACACCCATACCCAAACCCCCAGCGATCACACACACAACCTCTCAGCCAACATAGAACACATGCACACAACAAGCATTCACACACACTCACACTGTCTGCACACACACACACACACACTCACACTGTCTACACGCATTCACACATACAACCACTCCTCAGTCACACACAGAGTATGAGTTTGGATGTATTTTTTCTACCATTTTAAATTTTTTTATGCAATTTTAAATGTGTTGTGAATTGAAGTGTTATTTGAAATTGGGCAATTTAAATATGTTTAAGCAAAGTTTTTTTTTATGTTTTATGATGTGTTATTTGTATTTTCCTTACTACAAAAACTAATTGGTTGGACATTCTGTAGGGAGATCTGGGGATTGTAGAAATGCACATTTTTAGAGTTAGTTTTTGAGGGAGTTTGGGTGTGTAATATTTGGAAAATTGAAGGCATGCTTGGTTATCAATTTGGATTTCCAAAGCTTGGTGCTTTCGAAAGACGCAAGTGTTTATAGCACTTGCTTTTGGTTATACCAGTTTATAATCTGTTGTGTTTGGAATTTGAGGCAGTGGGGGTGTTGAACATTTTCGATTATTTGATTGCTAATGATGGCGAAGATGAAAGTTTCATCAACGAAGTTGGTGTTTTTTGTTCTAGCTGTTGTTCTGTTTGGGTTTACTTGGTTGCCTGTTGATCATCACAAAATGTCACCTTCCTTGGTCAGACCTATGTTCCTAATTCGGTGCCACAAATATAATCACACAGCATCACTGTTCATATAGGAATGAATTTGGACTCTAGAGATGTGTTAGGACTCTAGAGATGTGTTGGGAAACCCATAAGAGATAGCATGCTTCACTGTTTTTTGCTTTTCCTTTTTAGCAAGAGTTTGTTTAAATTCCTAAGAGAAGTTTGTGCAAATATTTGACATAATTTGGTTACGACTTTGGAGTGACCTTTAGTTTGTGTGTTCTAGACTTGATTTGGCAAATGGTTACCTTCCTAAGTATTGGCAAATGTTTTTGATCGTGGTAGAAAAGAAAATATATTTTTTCCGCTACGACAATCACATGGGCATACTAAGATGAGAATGGGGATACTAACTCTCTTTTATGTACCAAGAAACACATGGGCATACTCCTCATTAGCATCGTGAATTTTATTAAACGAAAAAAAGAATTGAGTAATCTGGTTAGAAAAAATTGATAATGCATGATAGGAGCTCAGCCTCATCGGTGGTTGAGAAAATATTATACACAAGTGAGTCAGTCATATTTGAATCATATGTGGGTAGATTAACAGTAAAGAAACATTGTGGCAAATTGAAATAAAAAAATGAAAGAAATACCACACTTCCTCTGTCAAAGTACTCTAAATGTTTTAAATTTTGTTACAATGCCTCAATGATCAAGTTCTCAATTTTTAAAAAAAAAATTTGTTCTTTAAAGTTTTGTTTCTTTATGATTGCAGCCTTGCAGGGTCATATAAATTGTAAGGAACACAATTGTTATAGTTTGGAGAATATTGAGGAAGAGACTCTTTTGTGGTTAAGACATCTTAGTTTGCACAATTGAAATTGTTAGATGAGTAATATTGTCAACATTGAAATTGTTTAAGACATCTTGGTTTTTGCTTTCTTATTCCTATGAGATTTAATAACCTTGCAGGTTAAATGTTCTTGATAGCTTGCTTTTTTAAAAAAAAAAAAAATTAACGTATTTGGGTAAAATTTAAATGGATGTCGACAAGATTTCTGTATTGGTGAATTTGTGTCTTTCTTATGCAATGTGATAGGAATATAAAATTAAATGACTACTTAGGTTGATAGTTGAGTTATGACATTTTGGACATGTTGCATTAGTTGGTAAATGATTGTATTAACATATAACTATGACACGATAGTGAGTCCAATAGTTTGTTTGGGATATCATTACACAAACCATATACATAGGTTGATATTATTTGTGAGGGTCTTCTTTTGGAGAAATTAAGTCAAAAAGTTGTAAAAAAATTATTATGTCACATGAAGATTTGCTTTGGTGAAATCACATGGGACAATAATGGAATTTCTTTTACCTTAACCTGATTTGTGATTATCATTTTTTGTGTTATTGTACTCAAATTCTCAATTCTTGCTTTTGGATTTGGAATCTATTGTTTATTAACTTAGAATTGGTGGCTCATTGTTTAGATCTATTTGTGGGTTTTATCGTTTATCTTAGTTGGGGCGTTGACAAATCTTGGTACAATTTGGATGAGAAATTGCAAACAACTAAGGTCCAGGAGATGTCCTGTGCAAAGTCTTGTTGGTAACCATTAAGAGTGTAGAAGTTGGCCATGTTAGCATCATTGTTATTCACTTGGTAAGTTGTCCTGTGTATATGAATTTGATGTTCTAATAAACTTGGTTACTTTTTGGATTTACATTGTTTGGATTGAATTTTGCATGATACATGTTGTAGTGAAACCCAAAACTAATTTGAAACGTAGGAATTTCTATTGAAAAATAAAATCGTGGGTTTGTAGTTAAACTCATATTCTAAGTGCAGTGCATTTGTATTTTAAGTTTTTTATACCTTCAGTTGGTGCATTTTCATAATGCTAAGAATGTTTTGGCAAAATACTCTATTGTGGTATGGGTTAACCTTTTTTTTTGTTTGTTGCCATGCTGGAAGTTACTTATTTGGGTTTTATAGTACTTTGATCCTTGATTCTTAATTTTTCTCTTTTCTGGTTAACTTATTTTCAGGTTTTACAGTACTTTTTCGGGTAAGTTTTTTACAGTACTTTGATCCTTGCTTCTTAAAGGAACAAAATCAGCATTGACAATAATTGTTGCCCTTTTTAAGAGGATAATATTGTTTTTTTTTTTGTGACACAGCTGCATGCATTGGGTTATATAACCAAGAAACCTAGAGAATAAAATCAATATTAATTGAAATTTCTGCTTGATCATAGAGGTGAGTTTTCTTACTTTTGGTATATCTTTGGCCCTTCTTAATTTTGTGACTTTAATGGAACTGAATTTTCTGTTCCAAATAATTTGAAACAAATTAGTGTTTGAATATCGAAATACTCTAGCATGGCAAAATACTGAGCTTTGGTAGTGAGCATGTTTGATCGTATTCCAACAGCGCTTTAGTAGTCGAATCGTATTTGAGAAAAGTTGTGGTTACCTCTTTTGATTCTTTCAGCTCTTTACCTATTTGGGTTTAATTATATTTTTTTGTCTACTTTTTTAAGTTTTATTGCATAATTAGAGTTCTATTGCACCTTTTTTGTTTTGTCGCGATTTTTTAGGTTGTTCGATTTTTATATTGGACCATGCCTTCAGACTCGGATTTTTTGATTATTTGGTAGACAAACATTTGGAGCTTATTTGTTGCGTATCTTTTGAATCCAAATAATTAGACGAAGTTTTAATTATTATTTTTCACAAAATTTTAATTTATTCCAAGGGCAGATAAATTCTAATCTTCCATGGGATATTTTGATTACTTTAATCACTTTTTGTAGTATCCTTACTCTAAAATCAGTTATCATTCCAACACTACTGTGGATATTACCAGATCAGTGCCCACAATTCAGTGGTCAAGAACCATACTCATTTGGTGGTATATTAATTTTCTAGGTACACACCCTCTTTCACTCTATCTCTATCTCTCTCTCTCACTCTCCCTCGCAAACACTAGCAAACACACACACAAACCTCACCCAAACACAAATACATGAGCACACAACATAGGGTGAGAGGATGGTGAGGAACTAAGGAATGCTAATGTCTGTGCATATGTGTGTCCGGTTGAAAATATTAAGTTCCAAAAATGTTGTGCTTATGATTTTGTTAAAAATAGTCACCCATGAAGCATTCTTTTTAAAATCATAAGCAAATATATGTTTGTGCTTGATTTTTTTGCTCGATTTTTAAAGTTAATAAGATTAATTAGTGTACTTTGACTCGAGTTTGTTTGATAGGTTTACTTTGACGGTGGAATAAAGCTTTTCTTACTTAACAAAAAACATGGACATTTTTTAAATGGGACTACCAAGAGCTGTTAGTCAGATGCATTTAGTTTTAAAATGCATGCTTCATGGATGTACGAAGTTTGGCATGTTTTAGGTGGAAGCAATTTAAAATGCATGCCTATATATATCACACTATTTTTTTTTCCCGAATGTATGATTCTTTGTGTTATGTAAAGCCTTTCAAATTAATCTAGAGTAGAGCTTAGTAAATCTAATAATTAAAACTTCTGTTGAATTAGACAATGCCTTTAGGCACGGGTTAATGTGTGTCTAGGGATATAAGACCTTCAAGTTTTCACATTTCTAATTAGGTATATAATTTCAAGTATATGAATTTTATTAAAGTTGTGTTTTCTCTATCTCTTTTTTGAAATTTGTCTTCACGAGAATCTTCAAATAGTACACCCTTTCACAGAGAGCTGCAAAGAACAAATAAGTTGCACAGAAGAACATTCTTAATGGATCATACTTCAATGTTAGGCAATCATACACAAGGTAATTTTATCGAGAAAAAGAAAATTAGAACTGCATGCAGGAGGCCTTTGCCCATCTTTAGTTGATATAAATGGAAATACTGCAGAGAGAAATTTTTTCATGTCTAATATATTAGTTTTGCTCATTGTTGATGTGAACGTGATCCCCCACAAAGTTGGAATTCATGTTACAAAAATACACTCCACATCCCATAAACCCTTTCATAGAGAGCTGCTAAGAACAAATCAGTTGCACAAAAGAACATTCTTAATGAATCAGAATTCAATTTTAGGCAATGCTATGCAAGGTAATTTTTTGAGACAAAGAAAATTAGACTGCATGCAGGAGTTGGAAATTTTCTGATTCATTAAAATTTTCTGAAAATTAGAATGTTACCCCCTACCTTTGCCTATCTTTAGTTGATGTAAATGACAATACTACAGATAAATGTGTTTCAAGCCACCATAAGCTAAACAAGAAAATGTAGTTCAAACTAAGCATCAGTCCATGTGATATCCAAACTGCCCCAGTTATCCTCAGGCACACCTAAGGCTTTCCACACAACTTTATAGGGTTTGGATTAATTATAGAGATTGTACTTGTATGTCAATTAGTAGGAATATGTGTATTTAGCGAATATTTTTAATTTTTTGATTTATTCTGTTTCTTATATTTGCAACCATCATAGTATACTAACCATCACTGCAAACTCTCAATATTGAAAAATGAAAGATCTCACCATTTTTGGTCGTGTGAGTTTAAACATCTTCTATTTTTTTATTTTTTTTTCGGCACCGAAAAATATTCACATATTTATTTCACTTTATTTTCACGCATCTTTTTACAGATTGATGAAGACTTAGAGCAAACCGTAAGATGAGTTTCATATCACTCATATTCTTAATAATTTTATCTCATATAGTTTGTGTTCATTTACCTGTTAAATGCATATTCATGTATAAGTTCAATTGCTAAGAAAAATAATGTTAGTGTTGTCATCGCGACGAACGCGAACTCAATTGCATTCTCATTTCTGAGGTAGTGTCATGACACATCAATTTTTATAGATTAGACTTCTTTTTTTTATATAATGATTTCACTTATCTATGTTTACTATCTAAAAGGCAAAAGAAAGAACAGTCGTAACTGCAAAGTGTAAAGGAAAAGGAATATCAACCTCTTTTGACAAGGAAAAGGTAAGTACTTTGTGCCAAGTGGTATTACATTGTTAACATTTTGACAATGTTATTTTATTGATCTAACGTTTTGTTTATGTTATTTCATCTATAGAATTGGGATGAAGCAGTGCAAGAGTTAAAAAGACTAAATGCAATCCATCTTTTTCGATGGGGTTATTTGAATAAGGTAACTAAATTTATTTTTTATAGTTTATTTTAGATTTTCAACTTTATAATTTTATAATTTCTATCGTGTACTAAATTTAACTGTTTTTGTAAATGCTAGCTTGTTGTACATTCTCCCAGTTGAAAGCTACGGATTTGGATTGATACAATTACATTCAAGGTTGTGATGGAGAAATTGTTTTTAAAATGATGTGCAGATAAATGAATTTAGTCTATCTGGTGCAATTTAAGCTTGATTATTTTGATTTATTAAGAGTTTTGATTATCAAAGTTAAACAAAACTTTGATGTTTCCTTTTTTATAGATGAACAAGGCTTTGATAATTGATGAACCATTGATTACCTCAAGCAGCTTCAACTTCAGCTTAAGGTGCAGGTTTGTTGTTTTCTTTTAAAATATTACACTCATGGTTGCGACAATTAAGTCCAATTATATTTTTTGCTTTAACTTAAGAGAGAAAATTGCATCTTCTACCAATACAAGCCTTGAATACTCACTGCCTTAGTGCACTTGAAGAATTTGAGTTGGTGAGTTGATATTGACATTGACTTACAAATGGTGGGAGAGTATTTTGTCGTGGTGTTATGTTTGAGATTATTTTTTTGGTTGACTACTTGGGTTTGTTGTGTTAAGAGAGATATTTAGGATCATAGAATGTAGTTTTCTAAATTGGAATGGTCGAGTCAATTTTATTTTTCATTTAGTAATTTAATGAATGTGGATGAATTTATTTGGGTTAGGTAGGTTTAAGTAATTAAACAAAATGTGTAGTCGTGTTTAACACATTTTATAGATTGTTGGCAATCCGCAATGGATTTATCAATGTAAGTGATTAAACAAATTGAAATCAATATAGACAACTAATCTAAAAAAATATATAAAACATATATAATTAAAAAAAATACGACTATCACATTTTGTTTAATTACTTATTTGGCAATCCACAATGGATTTATCAATGTAAGTGAGCTTTTACCCTGTTCTTATACCTGCGTGTTTAACATTATATAGATTGTTGTTTAGGCCGGCACGTGAGAGCTTGAGGTTTATATACACACTTTCTTGGTCATTATGCGCTGGTTGTCTCTGCATGTTCGCCGTGTTCATGCCCCACAACAGCTTTTGGATGTATTTGTCTAGTCTGCAGTTGATAAAAAAAATTGTGATATTTTGGATATATTTTTTTGGTAAACATATGATATGGTGGATATATTATGTGTAGTCTAAATACGCTTGTGAATTGTTCCTAAAACTGTATCGTGCACTCAAGTGTACATAAAACTATATTTTAAGGGTAGACACCAACTTAATTTCAAACTACGATGTGCAATTGCAGTTGTGTTGTGCCCTTGGGCACGGGTTGTTGGGCATGGATTGTTTGATTTTTGGGGATTGTATTAGTTACATATACAGGTTGACATTTCCATGGTCTCCTATTTTTAAAGAAAACTCTGTCGAAATTTTGCAAAAAATAGCAGGTTATTATTATAGATTAGATTGATGTAACTTTCTTTAATTATTTTGCAAAAATAATTAAAATTTTGCCTTTTCTTTTGCATTCTAAGATTTGAACGATCATGTGAAATTCCTTATTGTTTTGGTTGTTTTGTTCATCTTTCAGTTCTGTATATAGGTTCATATTTTCAAAAGAAATAATGTCAAAATTTTGAAAAAAATATCGGGTTGTTAGTAGATTGATTTATTTATGTGACCCAAAAAACAAAGTGTTATGTTGAGCGAACAATTCACAAGCGTATTTAGTGAGTTGCAAAATGCCTTCAGTCATGGATTGTTTGTCGTAGTTTTTTTCTTTATGTGTTTGTTGTGTGGACTAAGTTTGGTAAAGTGAACACAATACCCTTGGAATTGATGGTTGCCAAAGTTTGACAGGCTTGGAATGGTGATTTTTGGGGAATTTTTATTGTGAATTCTGATTATTGTTTATGTCAGATTGTAAACTATAAATTCAAAAGACTTTGAGCTTTGTAAACAAGTTGTAAATTTCTTGAGCTTCTATTGTTAGAGTAATCTTCGTCAACATAGTAATTGCCTTTTGCTGTCAAGTTGTCTATATTGATTTTAATTTCTTTAATTAAAGCAAATTAAAATAATTATTTTTTAAAATTAGTTGGTTGGTTTACATTTCACCGTGCTTTCAGGCACGGGTTCCATATTTTCAGAGGATACTCTAAAATACTAACACAAATACTGACACAAACGAAAATGACACGATCTAAAATTGAAACGACTGAAAATGACACGATAAGAAAATAACATGATACGACTAATGTCGCTTTTGCCAAAAAAGAAAACTAGCATGGTGGTCTAGGAGAAAGGACTATGCTCATGGTCAAGGGCTTTAACCAAGCCGGCCCTTACTATCAAGTGGACAGATATGGAACTTTCCCAACGAAAATAAAAGGCCTAAAGTCATATTTTAAGAGGATATTCTGTCGAAAAATTGAAAGTTTTTTTTATAGAGTGTCCATATTTTTATCCTTTTTATTTCATTAAAGTCATAACATTAAAAATGACCAAACGATTTTTAGCTTAATGCATGGTTATATTTCGTGTTTAAGAACTATGCACAGTGCCTTCAAACACGTGATATATGGCGACTTTAGGCCTTTTGTTCTGTGCTTGATTATTCAATGTTCGATTTTTTTTAATTGCACAATGCCTTCAGGCACGGGTTATCCCTAGTTACTTATAAATGTCAGCATGTGTAAAAAAATTTTGATTTCCTGTTTCACCCTTAATTATTACCATAAAATCAATTATACCCACATATTTTTCAATCTTACATAACTATTTGACTTCCAAAATATTAGCTAGATAAATTTTATCAAAATATTATCTAGATAAACTTCATCAAAATATTAGGTAGAGAAACTTTACCTCTATGAGTTGGTAGATAAACTTTATCTCTAAATGTTTTCTTTTCCATTCAATTTTACAAACTTTACTAGAATTCTAATACCACCAATTGGTAATTTTTAGGTCCCATTTGACTTCCAAAATATTATGTAGATAAATTTTATTAAAATATTATCTAGATAAACTTCATCAAAATATTAGGTAGAGAAACTTTATTTCTATGAGTTGGTAGATAAATTTTATCTCTAAATGCTTTCTTTTCTATTCAATTTTACAAACTCTACTAGAATTCTAATATCACATATTGGTAATTTTTAGGTCTTATTTGACTTCCAAAATATTACGTAGATAAACTTTATTAAAAGCTTATCTAGATAAACTTTATCAAAATATTAGGTAGAGAAACTTTATCTCTATGAGTTGAAAGATAAATTTTATCTCTAAATTCTTTCTTTTTCATTTAATTCTACAAACTCTATTAGAATTCTAATGCCACGTATTAGTAATTTTTAGGTGATAAACACAATCATTCATATAAATCTATAGCTTGATGAGAGGGACTTGGATTTCATCTCGATGCTCAGTGGTCTTTTGATTTCGCGGCTGGTGGATTCGAGTTTATCTCACAAGAATGCTTTGCAAAGGTGTATTGAGCATGCAAAGCTTTGGCTTTTGAAGTCTGATCAGCCCATTGAAGCAAATTCGGCCATTACTTGTATGAATTAGTTCTTCCAATTTGTTAATTTGCAAATTTGGGGACTTCCTTATGTTCTTTAATTGATGGTTTATTTTGTAGATTCTGGGTTGAGAGATCCTAAAAGATGTTCAAGCTAGCTGCAAAAAAAAGAACTGGAAGAGCTTGTCCAATTAATTTCAGTGTGAAAGCCAAGAGTTAATGCAAAGGTCAGTGTATCAATTACTATTATTTTTACTATTATATCATACATTTGTTTTGAGGTATTTTGTATGGTTCTTTGCATGTTCAACTATTTTATGATATTATGTTTCTAAATCATTGTTTGATTACTATTTACGTGAAAAAATATAAACTTTTAATGGGTTGGAGTATTGTTGAACCAATACTGTACAAACCAGGTTTTTATTGAATTGATAGTTTATCAATTCCTATGTTTTAGTTTAGTAATTCTTATGTTTACGTTACTTCCTATGTTCTGTGACACTTAATTTAATGTCAAGCAATTTTTTAAGAGATTGGTGTGACAGGTCAAATATTCAGCATAATTGAGGTTAGTTTATTAATTCTTATATTTTAGTTCATTAAATTGGTGTCGCAGGTTGAATATTCGGCACAATTGAGATTAGTTTATTAATTCCTATATTTTAGGTGGTGTTTGGTAACAACAAGTTTTCATTTTTTTTGTTGTTGTTTTTAATTTTTCAAAAAAAAAAATGTTTAGTGAATGTTTTTGTTTTTTTTTTCCCTGCTATGTTTTAAAAATAATGACAAAATTTGAAAACATCCAAAAAACATAACAAAGCGAAAGCCTCCTCCTCCAATTAATGAGGTCTCGATTTCAAACCCCTTAGCAGCAAAAGTTTCATTTTTTTCCTTACAATATAAAAGGCATGAACAGTTGACTTCGCATATGTCTGCTCGTATCTCCACTTTGAATTTTTTTTTTGTTGCAGATGTCTGATTTTTGTTTCAGATTTGTAGATCCCTATTTTATTTTTGCAGATCTATACTCATTTATCTCCTCTGTTATATTATTGTTTATACTTCAATGGAACCATTGATATTTCTCTTGTTGATTGTTTAGATCTATGATGATATTGTTCAGATTTTGGGCCTATTTTTGTAGATCTGTAATTTATTTTTACAGATCTATACTGTATTATTTCAGATCTAAGGTTTAAATAGAAGCAATGTTATTGAAGCATTTTTGCCTCTTACAGTATCTTTCTCCATCCTCACTCGAACCCCACAGACCCAATGGCTGGTGTCGACAAAAGAACACAATTTTTTTTTCAGCACTCATGGCTGGTGTCGACAATTGGCTCATGCTGGTAATCTATTAGAACTTGTAGATGAGAGAATGAAATATGACTACAATAAGGACCAGGCAAGCTTGTCCATCAATACCATTTAAGTTTTCTCCACTTCAAAATTACTGAGCAAGTCAAGAAGAAAGCAAAAGATGTTCATAATACACCCAATTAAAGCACAAATTACAACACCCACCCCAGACAAACTATTTCATTCCCTTACAATAACTAGTATTCAATTACAACCCCACCCACACAAGCTTTTGACTAAAAACTTCAAAATTTATTATCACTTGACAGTTGTGAGTGTGAACTAAAATGATTTCTAATGAATACCAAGCAAAATAAAAAGACTTGCTATAACCATCAAAATGAAATTTTTGCTCTTGCAATATTTCATAATCTCTCTTTTATATTTCATCATTCTTTTCTCCACAATCAGAGTCATAAACACCACCACAACCATCAAGTTGCTTTATGACTGTTAAGTGTGAATTTCAACTTGCTTTAACAGGTTACATGCTTATGATTTTTTAATTCAAGTATGAATTATGAATTGATTTAACATGTTATATGCTTATGTTTACATATAAGTAATTGTGATTTGAGAGGGTGGTTTAAGTGTGAGAGTGTTTGATGAATGTTTGGAGTTGTTTGTTATGTAGATGGAAAAAAAGGATAACGATGTTGTTGAGGTTGGGGCTAAGAAAGGTGATGGGGCATGGACGTCTAAAAATGGGGCCATTTTATTGACTTGATGGATTTAGAAGTACCATGTCATCCTAAAGGCACAACTACGTTTGAAAAGGATGCCTGGAACATAATCTTAGTGCAACTAAGCGCCAAGACGGGATATAATTACAACTTTGAGCAGCTGCAAAACAAATACAACACTTTGAGATTAATGTATAGTGCATTTAAGAAGTTATTGAATGAAACAACTGGAGTAGGATGGGACCCAGAGAGACAGACAATTACTTTATCTGATGACGTCTGGAAGAATTTGTGCAAGGTAGCCAATTATTTTTAAAACTCTTAAGTATTATTATGTCTATATTTGTCAAGACTTTAGTATTTATTAGTTTTCATGCCTGCTAGGTGAATAAGCATGCTAGACAATTCAAGAAAAAGGGTTGCCCGCATTATGACAAGCTTGGTAGAATTTTTGGTAAGACAAGTGCAATCGGTGAGCACGCTCACCCTTCTACCCTATCATCATCTAACAGTGAGGAAGAGAAAGACCCAATTTATGATCCTTCAAATGAGGTTGATAAAGGCAATGACAATGAAAATGCTAAAGGGCCATCCAACCGTTCTCGTAGTAGGTCTACCACTTCAACATGCAGTCGTCGTAGGAAGAAAAATAGTGTTATGGTTGGTCTTACAGTTGCCCTTAATGTGTTGGTTGAAAACTCAAAAAAAAAAATGACTATTTAGAGTACAAGATATCACAGTCAACGGGAGCAACATCTTCGTATGGGGATAGTGAGGTTAATGCCAATAAGGATGATTTGGTAGATGAATGTATGAGTGCTTTGAATGCTATGGAAGACATTGATGGTGACAGTTATTCAAAATTCATAACAAAATTTAGAGAAGGTATGACTTGGAGGAAGATATTCCTGGCTATGCCGGACCATAGGAAGCGGGATTGGGTTATGCACCTGTGATGTTTATGCTTGTTTTTTACGTATGTAGTTATGTATTTGTATTTAACTGTAGAACGTTGGGACGTTTGTTGCTTTATAACTGTCGTAGATCCATGTCTCTTTTTGTCTTATGTTTAATAGTTGGAATGTTTGTGTAAGTTTATCGGCATGGATGTTTTTGTAAGTTTAATGATATGGATGTTTTTGTAAGTTTAATGATACGGATGTTTTTGCATACTTATGCTTATTATGTGTTATAGGTGCTTAGACACTAATGGATTCAGATGAGGAATTGATATTTGATAGTGATGATGAGATAAGTATTGTCATAACTAAAATAACAGTTGATCATTATTCTAGTCAAAATTTAAGACCACGTCCATGTAGAACATCTAAACTTAGGGGGCATGAATATGTATTGGAATTAATTAATGGCCATGAAAATAGGTGTTTCGACCAATTTAGAATGGATCCACCAGTCTTTGTCTTGTTTTGCGAAGAGCTAAAAAATAGAGGATTACGACATTCTAGATACCTCACTGTTCAAGAGCAAGTTGCTATATCCATGCTCACTATATGCCACAATGAACGAAATTGCATAGTTGCTGAAAGGTTTCAGCATTCGGGTGAAACAATCTCCAAATATTTCAAGCGTGTATTGAAGGCAATTTGTAGGCTTGGAATGGATATCATACAACCACAGAATTTTGAAGTCATTCAACCACAGATCAAATTCAATCCTCAATATTATTTAGTTTTTAAGGTAATTGAAAGTATTATTGTATCTTCATATGAATTACAAATATATGTTTTGGTTCAATTGATGGCATTTGAGATATATGTTTGTCATGCTAGAATTGTGTTGGTATAATTGATGGTACCCATGTTGATGCAAGTGTTCTAGTAGACCAACAAGTACCATATTGTGGAAAGCAAACTGTACCAAATCAGAACGTTATGTGTGCATGTTTATTTGACATGCGCTTTACGTTTGTCTTGAGTGGGTGGGAAGGTACAGCACATGACTCAAGAGTTTTTATAGTGTGTTACTAATCCAACAAACAAGTTTTCAATGCCTCCAGGAGGTAAATTTATCCACGTATTTCAGATAAGTAATTTGTACAAATCTAATACTTTATCTTACTATGATATATATTTTTTCAGATAAATACTATGTTGTAGATTCGGGTTATACAAACATGCCAGGTTTTTTGTCCCCTTACCGCGATGAGAGATATCACTTGTGTGATTATAGAGGTAGGGGTTGACAACCAACTAACAAAGAGGAGTTGTTCAATTACCATCACTCATCACTTCGAAATGTAATTGAACGTTGCTTTGCAGTTTTGAAGGCTCGTTTTCTCATTCTCAAATTAATGTCACCTTATCCTATAACCACACAAAAATATCTACCCACAGCTTGTTGTATAATCCATAACTTCATTAGAAGACACTCTCCACTAGATCAGTTGTTTATTGACTATGAACAAAGGGAGGATGTTGATAATGGTAGAGGTGGTGCTGGATCTAATTTACAAGTACCAATTGAAATAGATATAACGCCAAGTCAGTTGCGTGAAATGGCTCATGTTAGAGATGGCATTGCGGGTCAATTGTGGGCATCAACTCATCATTAAAATGTCTTACTTAGAATGATATTATACTTTTTTCTTAACTTCCAATATTATATTGAACAAATTGTTATGTCTAATTTGTCGTAATTAATGTTGTTGAAACAAGAATCATATAATAGCACCAATTGGACCTCCATGTTCATGTGGATATGGTAATATGAATGTTTTTGTCACACAAACAAAAAGAAACAACGATCGCCTTTTTTATCATTGTCCAAGATGGTGTGATCATGCTGATTGTTTCATTTGGGTTGATGAGTACGATACACATAGAAATGAATCAGAACTTGTGATCCCACATGTCAATTTAGGAAGGAGAGAGAAGAAATGGGTCACACTTTTTATGCTTACTTGTTGTGGATGCAATTTCATCGTGTGTTGTGTATTACTATTCTTAATATTTGTATTACTTATTGGAATTCTAGTGAAGCAATTATGGTGTATTTGTGTAATTGGTAGAATATTAACAATATATTTATGTAGTGATACATTGGATGTTTAACAACTCTTATTTTGGGTTGATGTATTATGCACTATTTTATGAGTTACTATATATATATATATATATATTGGCATATAATCATTCTATGGTCTGGTAAGGCTGATGTGAGGAATAGACATTGGGTTTCATGGGAGAATTTGGGGTTTACTGGGACAAATTTTGCACCATTTGAAGACATTGGATTTCAGTTTGCTGCAAGTATATAGGGTTTGATGTTAGACTGTTGATTTTGGAAGGCTATTGGTGGTATGCTATTGGTAATTTGGCTTTTTGAAGAATTAAAGTTAATAGGGTTTGATGTTAGACTGTTTGCAATATTTGTTTATTGTAATTTTTTTGATTCTTTGAAATAAAATTTTTCTTTTCTGTATATATATATATATGGTTTATCAAGAATTAAAATAAATGTAAAATATATGACATAAAATAAAATAGTCACCAAACATATTTTCTGTTGTAGTTTTTAGATTTTGTAAAACAACTACATTCAAACACGTTTTTTGTTTTAACTTTTAACCACAAAAAAAAAAACATTGATTCTGTTTTTTATCTTTTTAAAAACATAAAAACGAAAACGTTATGAAACGCACTCTTAGTTTATTAATTCCTAGGTTTACGTTAAAATTTTCTATGTTGGTGTTTCTTTATTTTATCACAATGGAATAAAATATAAATTGTCATATGATTTGTAAGTGACACATTCTTTTAATCTTGCTTTATATATTCTCAAATTGACAAAAAAAGTTTGATAGAAATCCTAAGCCCACATTAAAACCAATTGGATACCAAGAAATACATGGAAGAACCGAAAGTGTATAATAATGTCGAATATTCCAGTCGTTAGTACTTGATAGTAAAAAAGATTATACTTTTAATGTCGGAAGAAATAGTCTAAACACCATATACTGTAAAACATTTGAAAAAATTAAAATATTAAGTGCTTTTTTTATTGGTATTCACTTACCTTTATAAAAAATAATTTAAATTTATTACTCATCAACTTTGTATTTAAAATAAATTAATAGACTAAATTTTTTTCACATGCGACGCACATGTACATTTCTAGTATAGGAAAGAAATGTCTAAACAGCCTCACCTAAAAAAATAACTTATTAAGTTTTCAAGATTAATAATTAAAATAAAAATTAATTATCCAAAACTTAATGTAGTATAAACAATTAACTCATGTGCCCAATTCTTCTAGGCGTCGCTTCTATCTTAGATAAATAAACAAATTAAACTTCGAACTAAATTGTAAGGCCTTACCCTGTGTTAGAGGGAGCCTTTCCAGAAATTCTCAAAGGCCAGGGATGAACCCAAGCCTATGAGGGGGTTTGGAAATAGTTTTCAACCAGCAATTGACGCGCCTCGGTTAAAACCTCACTAGCTGCGTCATTGCCCCAAGCGCAAAGATGTTCTTTTCTGAGCACATGAGCACCGCTTTATTAAACCTTTCGTACTCCCTGGCATATCTTTATCCGATGTGGGATTAGTAATACCTTACGTCCCCATTAGACTCTTATCTTATGTGTTTCATCTTGCCTTCATAACTTCCTACACGTAGAAACGGACTTTAAACTACACTGCAAGCTACAAACTACAAGGCAAGCCCTGATCTTGAGTCTCTCTTTGTATTCTTTCATTTCTCTCTGGTATCTTTCTTTGTCCTTCAACCCCAAATTCCTGATAAACCTATAAAGCAAAGATTGAAGTCAACAATCATCCCATAAACGTTTTGATTCGATTTTAAAATGATGGAAGGTTTTATTAGTAAAGTTTTTTGAGATTTTCTTAATTATTTTTCAAGCATTCCTACTTGATTCAGATTTCCTTCACCCGTGTGAAACCAATCCTAGACATATGATAGTGCATGCGTAAGTTTATCAGAGGATGATCTTGTGGCATAAACAAAACTATTATAACTTTAAAACCTTGAACTCTATGGTTCTTAGCTGGCTGCAAATGAAGATATAGAACCGGCAATCATATGCTGAATCAAAAGGATCATCAGCCAAAACAGCCCATGTATTATCCACTAAGGTAAGTGGAGTTCATATGGGTCACCCATGGCCAACACCTGTCGAAAACCCCATGGACCTGGAAAATTCATCACCACCTCAGCCACAAGCTTTTCTCCAGCTAGCAAAACCCACAAAAAAAAAAAAGACAGTCACCACTTCCACTATCAAATGTCAAACTCTACACGTTTTCTTCACCAACCTCAGCACTAATAGACAATTACAAATATGTAAATCTCCATGCAATGTCTCTCATGCAAAGCCCCTCAGCCCAGGAAACCAGTAAACCAGTAAACGTTGACTTTCTCTCTCATCCTCGAAGAGTTTCTTTGTTACTAAGAGAGGCTTCTTTATTACCTCTGCACCTCATAAAACATCACAGAAAATGGCTTATGTGAAGTCCTTTGCATTTATTGCAATGCTTCTTGCAATTTCTGTTATTCAATCCGAGTGCAGAGTTGCAAGAAAAGACTTGGGGGTGGATCTTGGTGGTGTGGGAGTTGGGGTTGGAGCTGGGGTGGGCTTGGGACTTGGTGGTAGTGGCTCAGGATCTGGATCTGGGTCAGGGTCGGGTTCTGGCTCTGGTTCTAGTTCTGGGTCAAGCTCAGCTTCCTCATCAGGGTCATCTTCGGGTTCTGGATCTGGAGCAGGATCTGAAGCGGGTTCATATGCTGGGTCTAGGGCTGGTTCGGGATCAGGCAGCAACCATGGGCGTGGAGCAAGATCCGGGTCGGGTCGAGGTAGTGGACGTGGGGAAGGATATGGTCAGGGGTCCGGCAGGGGAAGTGGTTCTGGGTCGGGTTCTGGCTATGGTGAAGGCCATGGTGAAGGTGAAGGTGATGGTGGGGAGTGAGAAGAGAAGGTGTATCTACTGCTAATTTAGTAGCAAAATAAATAAGTATGGACATTGTCACCATCTTTGTAAATAAATAAAGTGGTGAAACCAGTCTCTGTGTAATATATAAATGAGTTATAGACATAAAGTTACAATAAGAATATTGTTGGTATTGCATGCTTTCTTCTTCGTGTTCTTTAAATTTGCTGCAAAGTTTTATCCATCTTCATCTTAATTTTGAAAGTAACACTTATAGCAAATATCAAAACTGTTATTAAAACAAATAAAACTTTTATTGGTTGATTGATGGAGGACTGCAAAAATTAAATAAAATGGTGTTTTCAGCATAGACAATTTTCTTTTTTTTACATTTATTGCAACAAATGCAATATTAGATTCAACAGACTTCTTCTTACTATTACAAGAACCAAGCACACTTGGACCTCTTTTTGTGTGTGTGTGTTGGGGGGGGGGGGGGGGGGGGTTAAGTCCCTTGGTCTAAAATTCAGAGGACCGTTCAAACAAAAAAGAAAGAAGAGGTAAAAAATTAAGAAAAGAAAAAAAGATATGGTGCAATGTATGTGTAATTACAGAAATTGAGAAGAATATCCTAACAGTAGGAGTCCAAAGTCATGTGAAAGCACAGTATATATGTTAGAATTACAATTCATGAGTTGAAGAAAAACTAACAACTTTTGTTCCTCGCTGAATAAGTACCGACAAACTTTAATAAATTTTTATGTTGATTTTTTTGGCTATTCATTTAGGACTGCAAAGTGTCTAAACCATTGACTTCTGCCTTGATATTAGTGGTCGATTAAATATATATGCACAGGTTGAACTCGTACAACCAATGATATTATAATACTTGAAAATTTTTTACCTGTCCGTTAAAAAAGGTGACAGAGGTTTCTTTGACATATTTTTTACGATGTTCAAGTCAGTTCATGGAAGAGAGAGAGAAAGGGGGCACGAGGTGTTGCAGTGGGTGTTGTGTTTAATTGCATCTAATGAGATCGAGGATGGCTAGTGTCTAATCAGGGTCAATTTTTGAATAATAAAGTTGTTTAGAGATAAATGTTAAATGATGGTGGCCTCGGCGCATCTCCCAATTGGTCCACTGTGTCCTTATGACAGCTCTTTGTATCTCATGTGGTGAAGGCAGCGGAGCTGGCATCGCTTGTCACTCGTCAGGTCAACTAACTTGATCAATGTCAGTAGATCCAACAAGAACAAGAGACAGGTGACATCATTGGGACCGAGATACCTTCTGACTCCCAACTCGTCTCAATCCTTTAAGCACTAGTCGTTCGAGGGATAACAAGTGTCCAGATTAGTCTCATTCTAATTCAAGTGTCCATCATTGAATCAACTAATGTATCATTTGAAAACAACTCTTTTAGTTTCAAAAATTTTGAATATTCACTGGTGAAAATTTGGCCAGATGTACTTCCTTTCGTTTCCAATGTTCAATCGGTTATTCGAAAATTTGCTATTCAATCGGGCTCCAAAACTCAACCCCTTGACTAGACCCAAGCCATTAGCTATGGCCATATAGTTGAAGACTAGTGCTTTAAAGGAACCAAAATTGGCATTGACAAAACTTACAATTAATAATAAGTTTCCATCCAAGCACTTCCGTTTTGGACCTGGACTTTTCACTTGGCTTTACTGTTTCTTCTTGCCATTCCATTGCCAAATGTAGTGTTCAATTTCTTCCTCTTTGATAATCCAAACATGTTTCTAAAGAAGTTTAAGAATGTGAAAGAGATTTGAGATTTGGATATTCTACACTATCCTTTCAATGGTTTCCTGTCCACTATGGTTGAGTGGAATTGTGGGTCGGTACAGTCCTAATGATAATGTTGGCCATTATATGAGGAGTCCTCCAACACACTCTCCACTGCATGTCCAAGTTTTCTGAACCACAAGCTTTGTTTCATTCTCTTTCTTCATGTTAGGGACAATGAAGCCACAAATGGCTTCTTCTTCTTTTTTGACACTGTATCTATGGTGTCAACACCTGGACTCCACTGAAGTGAATTCCACAGGTATGTGTTTTGGGGTTGTTGGGCGGTGTGTGTGTGTGTGTGTGTGGGGGGGGGGGGTGGTAAAGGGGTGTAGGGTGGAAGATCACATTGACTTTAATAAAGAGTTGTTTAAGTCTGCATTTTGTATTGTTCTGATCCTCATTCTTTTAATTTTGACATTTTAGGCGTTAAATTTTAATTTGTGTCACTTTAGTCTAATAAAAAGACTTTGATTGAAATTGACTAACATAAGTGGTCACATACGTCTTTTTCGATTTGACAGAGATTTTAAATTTTCTTGGAGGACTCAGCACAACAAAAGTGACAAAATAAGGACTAAAAATAAAACAAATTATAAACTAAAAGGACTAAAGTGACCTATTAACACGTGACCACCTTAGTTGTTAGTTAATTGGCACCATCGTTTTTTATCGAACCAAAATAATACAAATCAGAAATTTAAAAGACTAAGATGATAAAATTAAAAGTACGAACAAACCACGTGTAACTTAAGGATCAAAGTGGTGAGCCCATTTTAGGGGTGAATAGTATAATTAATCTTCTTTTTATTTTAATGCAGTTTATGCACGTGTATGGACCATCCATTAGCATATGCAACTATAAATAGCAGCTCTTTGTTCTTCATTGTCACCACCACACAAATAAGCCTCCAAACACTACTAGCTAGTTCTTGCGTTGGAACATTGTGTTACTACCATATTATATGTAACATGTGTTTATGATTGTTTCTGTGTTTATCTTATCTTTCAGTAAAAAGACTTGTAATTTTATCCATGCAGACTTTATATTATCTCATTAAAATGCTAGTAATTTTCAATCATTTGATGTCAATTTTGTCAAAGGTTAGAATTTGGATTAGATTTGTGTTGGTCCGATTCAAGTCCGTTAAAATTTTGATTTGATTATCCAACAAAATTTATTTTAATACGGATCCATTGAAAATTGAATATCCTATCCCAATAGATTACATGCACTTGATTTTGGTGAATTACACACGAATTGTAACTAAATTTTAGAAAATAATCACTAAAATACATAATATATCTATTTACTGATATAAAAGTTGAATCAATTTATAATTGGATTTGATATTAATAAATCTCAATCCATGAAGTAGATTTTGCGAATTCAGATGTGGATAATTCATCAAAAAAACTATTGTACATCTATAAATCATATTCAAATTCAAATTTAATTCATTGACAAATTTATTATTTATTGGGGCATAGCTAAATTTTTCTCCGAGTTTGAATGTGTTCTCAGCTCCTCTTAGTTTATGGTTTGTTCATATACTCATCCATATGCTTATATTCCAATTTTAATTTCAATCTTTGTGTTGTAATGTTCAACCCCAAATTAAGTTATGTTTTAACTTCAAGCCCCAATATTTCAGTTCAAATTTAGGAATAGAATAAAGGAGAGAGGTGAGATGAAAATCCACTTATTTTTTATGCTAGCAAAACTAAATCAAAACTTTCTATTTGTACAATAACTGATCAAAAAATTTTAAAAAAATGAGATATTTTCTTTGCACAACTCCTATTAATGGATTTGTCGCGGTTTATTCAAGTTTAAAACTATAGGTCAACCCGTTTAGTATTAGTGTTAGTGGGTCAGGTTAATTTCGTGTTTATTTTGAGAACTAATAATTCTAAATTCGCTAATTTCATTTCAGATTCATTACGCATTAATGTCTTAAATCTTTCATCGAAAATTATCACCCATAATCGTATTGGTAAAGTTCAAGGGTAGGCTTTGCTTAATGAAGAATTCCACTTATTTTATGAAATACAAACCCATCCCTAATTTTTTGCAAACTTTTGTGGGAACAAGTTACGAAAAATTACAGTGAGGTGCCCCATTGAAAATCTGCTCTACTATCTCATCCAAATTTCGACGGCACTCGGATTGAGCTGGTTTCAGCCCAATTACATATTGGGCTCAGTTGGGTCAACCTTTTTGGCCCGGTATGATAAGCCCCTCTCACTCCTCTCCCTTACTAAAACTCACCCACTTGATAAATGAGTTGTTTGGAAGTCGATGCACTTAATTAGACTTATTTGACAAAAAAATATATAGAATAAAATGTGAGTTAAAAAGACATAAATACCTATTTTAAGGTCATTTAATTCAAAATTTTTTATTTTTAATGCACCTTGATTCATGTGTGTTTGTTAATACATATAAATATGTATTTAATACACCTTAATTCATGTGTATTTGTTACTATATATATATATTATATTCGTATATACATATATACGAATATAATATATATTATATTCATATATATATGTGAGTGTGGGTGTGTGTATATGTATATACGAATATATATACTTATTTATATATATACACACACACACATATATATAAATATATTTGTTGTTAAATATTTTATTTAAATTTTGAATTATCTTTAATGCACCTTGATTCATGCGTATTTTTTTTTAAAAGTGATTTTGTTTTCAAATTATATTTAATGCACTTTAATTTAAGAGTTTGTTTTTTTTGGAAAATAGTTTTATTTTTAAATTAATTTAATATCCGAATAATGTAATAGTATAACAAAAACAGCATTAAGTAGTTTTGTATATATGGTAACAAATGCAAAACGAAGATTGACTATTCTGAATGAAATTATATTTAACTATATGTTTGACAAAATGTAATAGTACAATATTTTGTATAAATAACTTGTTACACTATTATTGTTATAGTGTTACACTTTTATTGTTACACTATTATTGTTACATTATTACACTATTATACTATTCGGTTATTAAATTAATTTGAAAATAAAATCACTTTCTAAAAAAAAAATGCATGAATCAAGGATTAAAAATTAATTTCAAAATCAAAACCAGAAAATCAAATTAAAAAAATCAGAGTACAAAAATTAGAATTCAGAAAGACCAAAAAAATTGTCAGCGCTAATAAATCTATAGCAGTGTTGTTGTAACTCCGTGTAAGTACTATGGACTCAATGAAAGGATGCAACGTAAAATAAAAAAAAGAAGACAAAATCAAATAGAATGACATAATTAACACCAGAAAAACAATGGTTGCCAAAGTGGGATTTTCAATCATTTCCTAGGATTTTTTGTACCAGTGAGGGGAAAAAAAATGAAAGAGAAAAATGAAGAAAATGGTGCATATAAGGAAAGTGATGATGCACAAATTGGTATTGCGCA